GTCGCATGGTCATGACTGATCTCATAGCGGAGTCCAAGGAGGAGGTTAGATGAATTTCAGTTATCTTTTCGTTCATGCTCGAATAATTAACTTTTGATTTCTTCCAATGTGTGTCCAACCATGGTCAGACGTTTTACCGTCGATAGAAAACAGATAGGTGTGTAGTTTTTTAGTGCTTAGTCGTGGAACAGCTCAAAATGATGTTAACCTCCAAAGAAGGCACTCAAACCCGACCTTTGCACGCAAGCACTACGTGTAGTTTTGTAGTATTATAGCTATCTAGTAAAAGCTCCAACATTTTCTATCGTTCAAAAAAGACATTTAAGGTGAAAAATGCGCACATGGCCCTTATTGTCAGTTCAGTTATTTAGCCTCTTTTAAAAGTGTAAATCTCTCCTATAGGTTAATCAAAATCAGTTGAGTAAGACGTAATGCCTGAAGAATTACAGCATTAACCAAATATGTGCTTGTGATCATAGGGCCCCAACACTTATATGTAAGCGTTTGGCATGCCCAATAGTTATTTATTACGACTTTAAATGATGACGGTTAAAGTAAAAGCAGGAAGCTAACAGGTCTTCAAGATGCGCCGGTAGGTTTCCTAGTGTTTTCCGCATTCTCCATTTTATAAACGTGGATTTTGTGATAACTGGCTGTATGACCCAAAACTTTATCATTTTCCCATCAGGAATCAATGGCTGGTTTTTGTAGTTTTATGTTGGCAAAAAATATTAACAGCGCCTGTCTTCGAATGGTTTATTTTTTTCCACCTCGTCGTGCTTGTACTTGGTGTGATAAAGATCTAGGCTCTGCTCATTTATTTCTCAAAGCCGCATATATAAATGGTAAACATTCAGACCGATTACTATGTCCCTCTTTCTCTTTTCTAGGCTATTAGAGATTTCAAAGGCAGAGACGTTCAGATCATAACTGCTGCGACTCTAACGGGCCACGTTGTTCGCTGCTATAAATGGATAACGGTTAGTACTTCTGGAGCGCATCAATGACAAATTCGTTTTAATCACAGTGAAAAATTGGGATATATTTCTAGAGTTGCAAGGCAGTTTGATGATTTGCGTTTTTGGTGTTCTTTTAGGGTGCCATGGAAAATGGTCCGTCAAAGCAGGCTGGTTTCCTCAAAGCGTTGCGTAAATCTGGTGATCAGATTTCTGACATGTTGGAGGTACGTTTTAATGCGGCTTTAAACGGTATATTATTTGTACTCTAGACAACTGACTTAAAACTAATAATCCTTAAATCGCAAAAGCCCACTCACGATCAAGGAATGCCGAACCTTCTACAGTACATGGAAAGCAGTTCTAAGTCCGCACAGACCCTTTCAAACTTCCGATATCGCATATATGCAAACGAAATCTTAGGCGAAATGAGTAAGTTTAATTTTTAAAACATGAAAAATCAAATGAGGGTCCTGTTTAACAAGCAGTTCATCTGTATGCTAACAGTGCTT